GCTTGGTTCTAGCTCTACCAATTGTTACTGCCAAAGAAAAGGAAATTTTGATAACTTCATCTATATGAACATCTTCCCTAAATCATATTGTTTTCAATGACTAAATTAAGAGACTTTTGGTCGCTTTGACACTTTTTGTTGTTGACAATAACCGCGCCTTTGTATATCATATATATATATATATACATTTCAATAATATAGGTTTTCTTTAGGTAGAGTTGTAATTTTAATCTCCATAGTGCTATCTTTATTAATGAATCACATGACACATAAATTTTATAAGGTGAACAATGATTTAGGCATCTTTTGATTTGACATATATGGACATTTAGTTAATTTAATTATTTAAATATAATATAAATATAATTAATTTAATTAATTTTTATATATTATATGTATAATTATATTTTTGAGTTTTTTATATTTTTAATTTTAAATAAATAATAATAATTTGTTAATAAATATATTATAAAATATGGAGCAGAAAGTGTGTATAATAATATTCTTATAGAGTTGATTAATGACAGAAGTTACTACCCCCATGTCAAAGTAATTGACGTTTTTTGGCTTTTATCTTGCTTTTATTTTACTTATTTTACCATTAAAAAAGAAATAAAAATAAAAATATTTTTTTATAATGTGATAAATAATTAAGATTAAGAGATAATCATAAAATTAAAATTAAAAAAAAATGTTTCTCTTAAAATATAAAAAAATGACTATTTTTTTAAACAAATTTTAAATTAAAAAATGTTTATTATTATGAGAGGTTGTAAGTAAAGGTTTTTACCATTAGAGATTACTATCAAGAATAATTAAAAAGTATTAATTTTAAAATACACAACATTAACTTAGAGACATTAAAACTAAAAAAAAAAAAAAAAGGGTCTTTCGTTGATGCAATGACGTTTCTTTCTTTCTTCCTTTCTTTTTTTCTCTCTCTTTTTTTTTCATTGTTTTAGGAGTGCTCCAATCAACGTTCAATATTGGATGAAAATGAAACCCTGGAAAAGAAAAAAGATACTGCAAGGTCAAGGTGGGATAAATATTGATACATTGATTGAGTTAGTTGGCTGTGGCAGAGCTTCCAAAATTTTCCAAATTCAATAAAGAAGGCATTTCCCAATTGGTTACAGTCAAGCACCCAATGCCCACACACTGACCACCAATTAAGTAAACTTGCTCTCAAATTCACCCACTGTTATGATTTATTAGTGTTTTAGCTAAACATCCGTTGGAAATTTCATTTTGTTTCCCAAAGACATTTTGCAGCTGGAGAATGAAGATATTGGAGATTAATATTGGGTAACACCATTATTGTCTGTTCTTTTTCATGTTTCTTCTTCTGGTTTAAATTTTCAGTTTTCACCCTTCTGATTAACGAACGGAGACGACTTATTGTGGTTATATGATCTTGGAATCCTATTAGGAAAATAATTAGTACATTCTTCATTTAATATATTTTTTTATATTCATCTCGATTTAGTTATTAAAATATAATAAAAATATAATTTATTTAATTGATTTTACATTTTGTATGCATATATAATTACATTTACAAATTTATTTATTTTTAATTTTATATAAAATAATAATAATTTTTTAATAAATATATTATATAATATACTGAATCGAAATATACACTAATCAGTAATTACTAATTAGCGCCCATCTTATTAATTTCCGCTTTGGGGTATCATGGTAACTCAAAAATCCAAAGAAAATGAACGTGAAATGCATGCAAGGTGTATGGTCATATGCCACAGATAGAAGCTTTTTCAACTAGTAATAATTCATGCATGCATGGAATGGAACCCACAAAGATATGACCTGCTTATACTGTTAACCCACATGATCTTGATCAAGTATTCAAGAAGATTTGATTGTTCTATCATCTCTATCTCCCTTTCTTGTCTGTTTGTTTGGGTTTTTTCTTTAAACTTT